CTAAAGTCGTCAGTCTTGTTGATTTTCGTCGTCACCAATTATATTGTTTTCGGTTCTAGGTGTAGATTATCTTTATATTATTTTCGTACATAAAATTAACACATCGTCAGTCAAATATTAAAACCGGTCGTGACAACTCCCGTAAAACTTTTACATAAAGTACGGAGACCACGTTCCGGAATTAGAAAAATAGAAATATTCGGTGTACCACATTTCATTGGATTCAAGTATTTAGTTGTTAGATATGAACCGTCGTTAAAACTCTATGAACATGAAATAAATTCATAAAGTTACAAAACGATGAAACAAGAAGAAGAGGATGTCACAGTCTCCATGTACCACATGAAGATGAGGTGATGTACATAATTATGGAAATCAATGAAATGTCTACACCTACTTACTACACTTTATATTAGTTCACAATTTAGTCTGAAATCAAGGTGGACCTCATTAGGTGTTCGATGGGACGTCATATGGTTTCAGTAAGTTTATCGACGTGGAAATGGTCGAAAATCTTGTGAAAGTACTAGTTTAGTAATATTTTGGATAGATATTTTAATAAGACTTTACTGTTAGACGTGTACGATGAAAAGACAGCGATGAAAGGTGATATAAAACCTACTATTATGAAAAAAAAAAAAAAACAGATGAAAATGAACTCCTTGTAAAACTTACGTCCTGAAATGACATTGTCTCATAAGTTGTGAGACCCTGATAATGAAAAATGAGTTCATGTCTAGACTCATGAAGATGAAAATACAAAAAAAAAGTTCATGTTCTAGACTCATGAAATGAAAATGAGGTTCATGTTCTAGACTCATGAAGATGAAAAAAATGAGTTCATGTTCTAGACTCATGAAGAGAAAATGAGTTCATTGTTCTGGACTCATGAAGATTGAAAATGAGTTCATGTATATATATTATGAATATGTAGAGACAAATATCGGATACTTTTTTTGATAACTTTATCTTCCGATTTCGAATTGCAATCGTCTATCACTGTTACATACGATCGAATCGATCGAGTTCGCTAAGGAATTTATTATAACGGTGTCTTTTTGAAAAGTCAAAGTGAGTGCAGAGACGGCGAGGCTGTCCCTCGAGGACGAGACTTTGTGGACTTTGCCGGCGCGCCAAGATTGGTCGACAAGTGCGTCGCAGTCAGAACGGTGTTCACTTGAGGCCTGGCGTGTCCAATTATAATTGCTTGCGTGGGGGGCATCATTACATCCGGACCGACTTCGAATCTTGGTAGTAGCGGCTCGTCCGTCTCCCGGAATAATATCTAGGTACTCCCGTCTCCCTGCTGGTCCTCCTTCTTCGAGCTCGTCTTGGTCGAGCGGTGAAGTAATATTCTATATATCATTATCGGGGGTTGTTTCTTCGTGGTACGCCACAGGTACTACCGTTGTATTGTCCCCGTACTGCCGGCGTCTAATGAGGCCCAGGTCTGGCGGTGTATGGCGGGTTTTTAAAAATAACCGTCTAGATGTACTTAGTGTGTTTGCTCCGGATAAAACCAAGGTTTTGCCGCTTAAGCGGCCTTTTCCACTGTTCAAACGTAGTGACATATTTATTTCATCACCGGTCAGGTGACTCCTTTTTTTTAGACTCAAGTTCGGGATCCCTCATTTTAAAGCCGATATTCCGTGGGGTCGGGGGGCTCGGATCCTTGTCACCTTTTTCATACCTGATGACTTTGCATCCCTGTATATAAGTCTTTAACCAGTCTTTTTTTTTGATGTAATGTCTACATGTGGTGCAATGGGTCAATGACCTAATTACAACGGGACTTGCTGTAGACAACTCTAAATCTGAATAAGAGAACTGTGATAATGTGTTTTCTACATTGAGCTATGGCTGCTCAATTAATCATATTTTAATCCCAATTACGATTTTGGCTTGCAACGATTATGAAAACAACATAATTGAAATAAAACGATTTTTAATTTTTTAATTTTATTTTGTTTTGTTGGTTTTTCAATTGAATTATACTTAAAGTTCAGGGTAATCAACTGTTAAAAACCTACTGTTCAAATGTTTCTTTTTCAAAGTAAATGGATAATCGTTTTTAATAATCGAGATATCAATTATTGACCCAAATAATCGAGATTATGATTCTTGCCATAATCGAGCAGCCGTACATTGAGCACTCACCGGCTGTTTTCTGTGCGTTATGTGTGTGTTTGCAGAGGTGTGGTGAGTCGGAGGTGGTGGATGAGAAAGGCTCCGTGTCATCCGGCTCCCTCTCAGCGGCCACAATGCCAGTGTTTCAGGATGTTCTGCTGCAGTTCCTCGACACTCAGGCCCCCACTCTCAGTGAGTCCTTTTTCCTACATTTCCTGTGGTTGTGATTCTCAAATGTGTCATCTTGATCTGATATTAAAGGACTTTCATATCCCTTTGTCTTCGCCTCTTATTTCATTACCCAGGGCATATTTATTATAAATGATTTGGCTATGGGAACCTGGTATTCAATTATTCAAATCCCTTTTCCCCTCTGCAGCGGAGCCTGGAAATGAAAGTGAGCGTGTGGAGTTCTCCAACCTGGTGCTGCTCTTCTGCGAGCTCATCCGTCACGACGTCTTTTCCCACAACATCTACATGTGCACGCTCATTTCCCGCGGCGACCTGGCTTCTGACTCGCACCTGCCGCGCCCGCGCTCCCCCAGCGACGAGCCCTCCGATGAGTCAGAGCGCAAGGAGCAGGACCCAGGCAGCAACGTCAAGATGGAGGCAAGCATCTGCTGTTAGAGTGTCGTGAGTCATTTGTGCAACAGTACTAAATCACAGCGTGGTGTAAGAGGCTAACATGAGGTCGTTGCTTGTTCAACAGGATACCGGTCTGTCGGAGTCCATGGAAATTGATGCCAACTCCAGTGCTAATTTTGACGAGGTACACAAATCAGTTAACGTTTCATATTTCTTGGTTTCGTTTCAAATTAAAGTTTTTTTTTTTTTTTTTTATATGGAATTCCTCAAGTTATTAAATGTGCCTTGCAGATGTTCTCTCCTCCGATGCACTGTGAGTCTAAGGGGAGCCCCTCCCCCGAGAAGCCCGCTCCAGAGCAGGACAGCAAAGTCGGCATTAAGGACAAAGGCTTGGACCCGGCCTTCCCTCAACTGTATGAACAACCTCGCCACATTCAGTATGCCACTCACTTCCCCATTCCTCAGGTAAGAGAGCTCACTGCGTGGAAATAAAAAAAGAAATGACAAAACAAACTCCTACATATTTGTATGTTTTCTTGAGATAGCAAGGTTGTGGCTGCCTTCCAAGGAAATGTCACAATTCTGTTAAATGTATTCCTCAGACCTTCTGTTTGTCCTGCTCTGCTGCATCCAGATAATGAGGATCTTCTCTGTCTTTTTGTCATTGCTCTCAGGAGGAGAGTGCCAGCCACGAGTGCAACCAGCGGTTAGTGGTCCTGTACGGCGTCGGCAAACAGAGAGATGAGGCCCGACACACTATCAAGAAAATTACCAAAGACATCTTGAAGGTGCTGAACCGCAAAAGCACAGCAGAAACAGGTAAATGTTCAAATATATGTTATCAGCTTTGACTGATAGTGTAATCTCTTTTATTTATCATTTACTCCTGTTTTACATGACCTTAGTTCTAGGCATGCAGTTTGGCTCCTAACTGCAATTTAAGATTAATATTCAGTTTCTTCTCCGCTACTTTTCATGTTTAATGATAACAATGTTATCAGTTAAATAGCGTTGACATTTTTAAATATGTTCCCTGGATTTTTTTGGATGCATAAAGTCTCATGAAAGAGATAATGTGTTACCCAGGGTTCTTACAGTCATTAACAACCTGGAAAAGTTATGGAAAACAATATTTTTTCCCAAAGTCATGGAAATGTAACTAAAGTCGCATCAAATATAATTTATATTTTAAATAGTAATACTATAATGATAATACATACTGTATCGCAGTGGTTCCCAACCTGGGGGGTGCCGAAGATCGCAGGGGGGGCGCCAGGCCTCAGATGATTTGAGGCCAAATATCATATTTAGACTTTTTTTTAAACTTTTTAAAACTTTTTTTTACATGTAATTGTAACGCAATACATGATTGTCACTAAAAGTCTTGTCTTTACATTACAATAAAATATAAAAAAATAATTGATTAATTAATTTTAATAAAAATTCTAGTTAACTATTAAAGGCATAAAAAGACAGAAATGTAGAATTCTTTCTATAGAAATGTTTCTTCTGCCCGTAAAGTGTCCAAACCAGGCTTGTCTGGATAAGCGCATTTTTAAAACATAGTCATTGTCCATGCCGGTTTCAGGATTATTTGTCTCAGTTGCTCCGATCAGATCGGTCTCCTCCATTTTGTAGATTATTTAAGACTTTTGAATCCACATAAACACATCGGCAAAATCCGGCTTACTTTGAGCATGTGTTTTAAACAGTTTAATCCCTTTGTGAATTGTTTCCACTTGCGCGCGTCCTTTAATTTCTTCATACAGCGGGAATCCAAATGAATGAATCCTGAGTCCAATAACCATCAAAGTCACTCCAATAGAGCTCCTTCATTACACTTTCATCCTCCTTTAACAAAATACTTCACATTCATCTAGTTTGTGACAGTAGTTGTATAATTTTTGAGACTTTTAAACTTTAATTACCGCTGTTTCCCCCTCCCCCCCCACACACACACACAAGGAGCGTCATGGCGATTGGAGCGCAACTCCCAACAGAGATCATTATGTGAGAAGTGCTCTTGGCAACTAAAGGTTGGGAACCCTCTGCTGTATCGTAGAGTAATGAAACGTAAAAATGCCATTTAACTGACGTAGGTGTTTGCCGGTGAGAGAGCGTCTTTGAGTTCTTATCAGGTGTGTCGAGCTAGTAGCACCGTATCAGGTCTCGTGAGTGTTTTAGATAGGCAGCAACATGTTTCAGATCTTTTTCACTGTTCCCATGTTAAAATAAAGGCCATATTTTCTGTTCAGGTATCCTGTATTAGAGCAGCTAAAGGGGTAATTGTTGTGTACTCCGGTCATGGGAAAAATGAGTAGAGGGTCATTGAAAAGTCATTGGTGAAACAAGTGTATGAACTGCGTTACCAGCTCGAAGCAGGGTGTTGCTTTTATTGTGATTTAGGATGTTCGTTAAATCATCTGGTTCTAACATGCTAGGCTTTTCGTCTTTCACAGATGCTGTCGATAATAATATCTGCCTGAACAAAGATTCTATTACCTGCTTTTGACAGGCATTAATATTTTTGAATTATTGCGTTAAAATATTTAACGNTTGCTTTAGCGTGTAGAAGCTAGTAAGCCTATTTGATTTGTTTTAGATAGGCACAACATGTTTCAGATCTTATTTTCCTGTTCCATGTTAAAATAAACCATTTTCAGTGGTACCGCTGAGAGAGTAATTGTTTTGGTCATGGAAAATGAGGTAAAGGTCATTGAAAAGTCATTGGTGAAAAAGTGTATGAACCCTGGTTACCAGACAGCAGGTGCTTTATTGTGTTTGGATGTTTGTTAAACATCATTCACATGCAGGCTTTCTGACTCCAGCTGTTATCATCCTGAACAAAATCTTTCCCTTTTTGAACACATTTAATTTGTATTCCCTTTCCTCTTATCTGCCCTTCTTAAGAGAACACGCTCCATTTTTTTTATCGAGCCCAAGGGGGCTTGCATCACTCAATCTTCTCTCCGAGCAATTTCTATGCTAACATCCCTCATCTCTACAGCCATTTTATCTCTGATACCTGTGACCTTATTAAGGTGATTTGAGGTTTTCCATCTATAAGCGCATAGATTGGAGTGTCTTGTATCATCTTACCGCATCTGTGTGAGCTGATGACTTTCAACAATTCTCTTAACCCTTAGATGCACGAGTGAGTGGATCCTACACTCTTCAATAAGTGGGTCAAAAAGGACCCGTATAATGTGTTTTTATGCCATTTTTGTCCTTTTGGTTAAGAAAAATCACTTGCATAATATTTACTATTATATTTTGGTTCACACTAGAAATATTTTTATATTACATTTTTCACTATTTATAAGTTTAGAAAAAAAAATTGCATTTTGAAAAAAAAAAAAATCCCATAGAATTACCCACTTATGGAAGCTGGGGTAGTAATACAAAAACTACAATTTCTTAAAATGTATACAATTTTAAAAATTTGAATGGCATGATATCCATAACATGTTTTTTGAGGAATAGCTGGAATATGAAATGATAACATTTTTTAATTACAAAGATACTTCAAGAAAACCACCTCACCGGGTCAAAAAAGACCCACTTATGCATCTAAGGGTTAAAAGAAAAGCACCATTTTCCTTTACTTTAGATGCTTTTACAGCATTGTCTTTTATCAGCGAAGCTTCAAATCAAAGGAGGCTGGGAATAAGATAACAGACTCCATTTCACAGCTGGCCTGCTCGACAGACTGAAAAAAATACCGCTGACCAGTTATGAGTGGTTGCGCCCTCTCTTATTTTTCATTGTCCTCTCTTTCCTTTATACGCAGGAGGGGAGGAAGGACAAAAGCGGAAAAGGAGTAAGCCCGAGGCCTTTCCCACTGCTGAAGATATCTTCGCCAAATTCCAGCACCTCTCCCACTTTGACCAGCACCAGGTCACCTCCCAGGTCAGATCAGGGAAACCCTTTCCCTCATGACCTCGTGTGTCTCATGTTTAAGAGTATGTGGGAATATGTTAATTATTTAGGGACTAACCACAGGGTTGATTAATGCAAATAACTTTAGCAGCCTAATATAAAAGAGCTCCCAAGGTGACTCATTTGAATTTAAATGTGATTTGAATATATTTGGATTTCTCTTGAGATGCCTGAATACAATTTGAATATATAATGCACTTGGGTGACTGTCAATTTAAAAATGCAGCAGGCTGTAACGGAGAATGTCGTTGATCCTTATATCAACACTGTCAAAATTACCCATTGATTATATAATAAGAATTACTTTGCAATTTAAAGTAATGCGCAATTTAATTTGCATGTTTAAGTTTCTTTAATTCAAGTTTAGCTAACAGCCATCCAGTCTCTACGGAGCAATACACATTTAAACATAGTTGCCATGTTTTGTCTTTAAATAGTTTATGTATAAGATCAACTTTTCAATAGCACTAAAGTTAGGGTTGTCACTTATACTTTTATTTAGTGAATAGTTTGTCATTTGTTTCCTTTCTTGCATGAGAAGAGTAAAACCACTCTCCTAAGACTGTTAACTTTGAAGCTACAGCAAAACAAAGCAAACCGCTTGCCCGGGACTGTCCAAAGGTTACAAATCTGTAACCTTGGAAAAACTGCACAAACTTCAAAATGTTAAACTGAGAATAATTTCTTTTTCCAGGGTTTTCTGCTGTATTTTTTTTTTTTGGAGAGCTTTGTTGATGCGCAATTAATTCACTCTACCTGGCTAGCGGATTCCCCCTGTTTCCTGTCTTCATGCTAAGCTACGCTAATGTGCTAGTGGCGTAAACTTCATTGACAGTGGTGTTTTCTCATCTAAGTCGCCAAGAAAGCAATTTGTGTAATTTGTATGTTAACATAACATTTAAATTGATATGTAGTCAATACACTCTGTTATTTAATCAGTTATTGTTGGTTTATAATAAACAATTCTGAGTGGAAAGGAACTTGTTAAAAGTCCTTTTTGGTTCTTTCTGTTTGTTTTGCTCAAACAACATCATTCCAGTGGCTGACAAAATATGTTGGCATCGCTTAAATACTCCTGCCAAATGGAGTCAGTGTTGGATCTCGGCTGAATGGCAGCATATGGTTCCGTCGCAGCCCAGTGTCGGAACAAGGACTGAAATATTGTTTTGTATTTTGCATGCTAATGATGTTTTGTGTGTGTGCAGGTGTCCCGAAATGTGCTGGAACAGATCAACAGCTTTGCCTTAGGGATGTCCTATCATCTGCCTCTCGTCCAGCACATCCAGTTCATCTTTGACCTCATGGAGTACTCTCTCAACATTAGTGGCCTCATAGACTTTGCTATTCAGGTATTTCATCACATAAATCTCTGTGTTGCACTGTTTGAGAAGCCTGTGACCTAAGATTTTCATCGACATAACTACTCTGTAGCTATGTTCGTATGACAAATAAAGAACCTTGAACCTTGTTTTATTCACAGTTGTTTATACAATCCGCTGACTGTTTGTTTGTTTTTTGTAGCTTGTGAATGAATTGAGTCTGGTGGAAGCCGAGCTGCTGTTGAAGTCCTCCAGCCTGGTGGGCAGCTACACCACCAGCCTGTGTCTGTGTATCGTAGCTGTGCTGAGGAGGTACCACTCCTGCCTCATTCTCAACCCTGAGCAGACCGCACAGTGTGATGGGTACGTCACTTACACGCTTTGATGTTTGGCAACAGTATAGCTCAAAACCAGACATGCTAGATATTAGTTTATGCCTTAATCTGGGACTGTATGTTTTTTTTTTATTAACTGTGATTGAATTCGAACCCTAAAGGGATGTTTACAACAGTAAAGTTCTAATTCAATTAGTAAAAAGGAAGTTTCAGGTTGTACCGGCAAATGAACTAATTGTTAGTGGTTTGCTTTCTCTGAGCCTCATTCAAGTGTCTTAAATTAGTATTTTGATTGTCACAGGATTGCTGACATGGCACTTCCTGCACCAGCAGTTGTTTGAAATGATGGTAATTTAGAAACTAAAGCTGATTCTGGCTTAAGCGTTAGCTAAATGCCTACGGTGTTAAAGAGAAAGAAAGCTCATATAAAGACTCTAATTAAAGTCATCGTAATTAAATATGAAAGAAGTGCTAATAAAGAAACACTTAATGCTAAGCTATGTTAGTCACTGATGGCTGTAGCTTCATACTTACAGATATGAGAGTCGTTTCAGTCTTCTCCACTAACTCTGAGCAAGAAGGCACAAAAGCCACACATGACTGACTTTACCTTTAAAACATGTTTGCTGTTCTCAGGTTGCGCATCGTGGTGAAAACAGGCGTGAACCCGGCTGACTGTTCCTCTGCTGAGCGCTGTATCTTGGCGTACCTGTACGACCTCTACACCTCCTGCAGCCACCTCAAGAACAAGCTTGGCGAGATCTTCAGGTACATATACATTTTCACCTATATGAATATACAGGATATATGTATTTTTTGGAGAAGGCAATGTCTGTAAAACCTTTAATTTTTCATTTAAATGTATTTTTGTTTTAAAATGTATATGCAATTTACATCTACACATTTGTATAATATTTGCAACCACTGGTCCAGGTTTCCTTATAATTGCTTCTATGGATCAGTTGTGTACAGTTAATATACTCTCTCCAAACATAATTTTGTTGTCTGTGTTTAACTTTCTGCGATTTATTGTTGTTTCTTCTCTGTTGTCAGTTTGATAAAACCCCTTATTCTCCCCTTTGTGTTCCCTCAGTGAGTTCTGCTCCAAAGTGAAGAACTCCATCTACTGCAACATCGACCCTTCAGACTCCAACATGCTTTGGGATCCTGTGTTCATGATGGAGGCCATCGCCAACCCCTCGGCTCACAACTTTAACCACTCCATGGTGGGGAAGATCCTCAACACCAGCCCGGCCAACCGCTACAGCTTCGTGTGTAACGTGCTGATGGATGTGTGTGTGGACCACAGAGACCCTGAGAGGTGCGTGCTCTTAATGTCATTATGTTGCATGTGTTTATGGCTCTGACCGCTTCACGTTTCCTCTCGTGTGTGGACTGTCCTTATATGTCATGTATTGATCTTTCAGGGTGAACGATATTGGGATCCTGTGTGCAGAGCTGACAGCGTACTGCCGCTCTCTGAGTGCAGAGTGGCTCGGGATCCTCAAGGCTCTCTGCTGCTCCTCCAACAATGGCAACTGTGGCTTCAATGACTTGCTGTGTAACGTAGATGTAAGTTGTGGTTTCATAACTCTCTAGATTGGACTTGTGACGCAAAGGTTTAATAGGAGTCCCAACAGAGTAATTGTTGCACCTATTCTTTATAAACTATGGCTGTTACTATTATTTGCGCTAACATGGCTGAAAATCAGTTCAGTTGTATTTTTTGTAACTCATTTCGAAGTCGGCCAAATATGTTTCCCGTATTTAGTAGTTCTCGGATTACAGCAGATGTATTAATCCTGCATCATCATTTATAAATCCCCTCTCTGTTCTCCTTCAGGTTAGCGATTTGTCCTTCCATGATTCCCTGGCAACCTTCGTAGCCATTCTCATTGCGAGACAGTGCCTGCTCCTAGAAGACCTGGTTCGCTGTGTGGCCATTCCTTCTCTCCTCAATGCAGGTACGGATATTTAAATCTCCTCTCATTACACTACACATTGTCTCCTTGGGTTCATCGGATAAACAGTTGCGCAGAAAAAAGAAGGACATGCAAACATACATACATACAGAGACTTCCATTTTACCCGAGTGCATCAGCTCGGCCTGTAGGCAGGAACCCCCGGCTGTATAGTGCATTACTTCTGTCAGAGAGGAGAGTTAACGCAGCGTATTTGATCTGGATCCATGAAGCCTCGTTGCGTTTTGTGCGCTTGCCAGAGAAGTGCCTCCCTCTCCCCACTGTTAATCTTTTCCCTCCCAGCTTGGAGACAAAGCCCCATTCAGCCGTGCTGTTTGGTTGGGTTTGGCTCATTTTAGAACACAACTACACATGCCAAATGCCAACAGCTCTCTCTCAACAGCTTGTGGTAAACGCTTTGTTCTCACTTCCTCTTTCACAACAACAGCTCTATGAATATTCCACTTTATCCTCACTGATGATAGGTCTTATATCTAGAACAAGGTTTAAATGTAGTCTTACTCTAATATGTAGATTGTGTAGCACCTCTAGAAATGTGACCCCAAGATATGTGATGTTAAATAATTCAGCGCTAATTAATACATTTGTGTTCCAAATCTCCCTCAGCCTGCAGTGAGCAAGACTCTGAGCCGGGAGCCCGACTCACCTGCAGGATCCTGCTGCACCTCTTCAAGACGCCGCAGCGCAACCCCGTGCCCCAAGATGGTGTGAAGTCAGGTAGGAAACACAACCAGAATAGTTTCCTATTGTTTCAACACGTCTTATGTTCCTGCCTTGTTCTGAAAAGCATAAAGTTTTATCTTACGGTACGTCCACACAGCAGCTTTGAAAAAATCTTGAAAATCTTGGAGCTGGGCTTGTCTGAGAGCTTGGGGATTTTTGCAGCAACGCGACCAACAACCAATCCTATAAATATCCCGCCTCCGACATACAAAGCAAAAAACCCCGGTTCTTCTCCACTCAGAATATGTGCAGAAAGGAGTATGACATTGTGTGCATTAATGTGATGCATATAGTGTATGATGTGGCAGAGGTAAAGTGTCAGCGGGAAGGGCTATGATGAACATGTATGAGATTAATGTCTATGGTGCTATTTTATGCTACATTCCATGCTGGCTAAAGATACTGTCTATGCTTGCTAGCAATGTTTAAACGAAATAAACTGGATATAAAATCCCCAAACAGGCGAAAACCTACCAGTTTCACCCACTGTCTCTGCCACCTCCCTCCATGCCTGGTTCCTCCGGTTTGTATCCCGGTAAGTTATTAGCGACTGGTCATAAAGAATCGGGTGATTTGCTACCGCAATAACAAATTTCTCCTCCATTTTCAGGAATATAGAAAATTAACTGCGGTCTGGCTCTCCCAGCTTGCACGCACACAGATTTGCATAAACGGGATTTGATTGGCTGAGGCTTCCACCTCAGCTTCAAAAGTTGAACATTGCTCAACTTTTGAATCCTGGAAATCTTCGCTTTGCTTCCCCACAATGCAGTTCGGCGAAAAAAGCGAGGCAAAGTGACGTCACCCCCATTCAAAGTCAATGGGCAGAGAAGCGTTGGAAGATTTTTTTAAAGCTGCTGTGTGGACGTACCGTTACACTGGTGTTAGGCGTGCGGCGTAGTGGGATGTGCGTTGGTGTTGGGATCAGGGGGTCACAGGTTCAAACCCCACTGCAGTCAGCATGTCGTTGTGACCCTGGGCAAGACACTTCACCCCAAATTGCTCCTGTGGGGATTGTCCACAGTATTGAGTATAAAAGATTCTATCAAGTGACATGTAATGTGCTATGTCTTTGCAGATAAATCCTCCGTTGGTATCCGGTCGTCGTGTGATCGCCACCTTCTCGCTGCTTCTCAGAACAGCATAGTTGTTGGAGCAGTATTTGCTGTCCTTAAAGCTGTCTTTATGCTGGGTAAGAGTCTATGTAGTGCTGTCACTCCAACAAGTTTAAGGTCAGAACCTGTTGTATGAAAAACGGCGATGATAAGTTAGATGTTCTGCTGTCCTGTTTTCAGAGGCCTCATGTCAGGATTTAATCGAAATATTGAAGGGTTTGGATGGTATGCGATTGTTATCGCTTTAAATTGATCGGGGATTGAGTACGCTGTAAAAGCATGCCACTATTGTAGTAAAGTGAAAAAAACAACCTGATAAAATTTTTTTAAAAAAAACATACAGAAATGAACATAAACATAGAAATACCAGACTCACATGATGTTGCTATATAAGATTTATGAAGACCTTTTTTATTTATTTTAAAGTTTATTTTTCACTAAAAGGATGTTCGAAGATGTGTCTACCTTTTTGATTCGAAAACACACATGTATAAACAACCAACATGTAAGGATGAGTGCTCCTGTATGTTTAACTGCCATGAAATCCTATTAGGCATATTTCATTTCATTTTATATTGTCGAAAAAATATCTTGAATGACAATTATTTGACCTGATAATTGTGACATTTCATATCACCCCGTGCCTAATTAACACAGTGTGAAAACCCTGTATGCTCTATGACATACCGGCTGGTGACACTGATCCTCCTCCGTGTTGTTTAGGTGATGCTGAGCTGCGAGGCTCAGGACTGTCGCACCCGGCTGGCCTCGACGACATATCTGAAGGGCGCAATGTCTCCATAGAAACGGCCAGCTTGGATGTTTATGCAAAATATGTTCTGAAGACGATCTGTCAGCAGGTGAGAATATAAGCACCATTTATAGAACAAGACATGATTATGAAAATAACATCGTTAAAATTTTAAATAGAAAATGAATTAACCTGAAACAAATAGCTTTTTACCGCACTGAGCTAAGCGCGTCTCTCGTGTCAGAAATGTTATTCTCTCCATCTAAAGGATTTTGTGGGAACATGAACAATGAACTTTCTATTTCTGCTCACATAAGCACTCCTGCTCTTCTGTGCTATTTGTATATGCAGCTAGCCATATAAGCATAAAAAGTGTGAATGAGATCATTTCTGCACCAGATGTCACTTATGGCACATAGATACGAAGGCCAAAAAGAGAACTGGCAGCAGTTCTGACGTCTGGACTTACTCTGAGACCTCAAGAGACTTCAAACACATTTCCTACCCAGAAGAAACTCTGGCAGTTCTATTCCTGAGAAATGTGCCCTGTTTTGTTTTCATCATCACCCGTCCAGCTTACGTAAAGCCTGTTTTGCATGACTCATGAGTTATGAGTTACTTAAGCTGGAGGGTCATTGAAGTTTTTGACCTTTGTCACATTTCTCACTCTGACGAATATTTCTCCCTCGTTGTGTCTTGCAGGAGTGGGTTGGAGAGCGCTGCCTGAAGTCTCTGTCTGAGGACAGCAGTGCCCTCCAGGACCCGGTTCTGGTGAACATTCAGGCCCAAAGGCTCCTGCAGCTCATCTGCTATCCACACCGCCAGCTGGACAGCGACGAGGGTGACAACCCACAGAGGCAGCGAATCAAACGCATCCTACAGGTCAGGAATAATCTCTCATGCAATAAAGATGATTTAGTTCAAAAAGTATGCGAGAGACGTGTTGGTTTTAAAAAGAATAGGGTAAGCTTTGACCTTGGTTATTCTCTTAAAATAAAAATAACTTGAATCTGCTATGAAGTTTCCCCTTTTGATGTTTTGCTGCCCTCTCCTGGCTGACTCAGGGATTGAGGAAATGTTTTCACCAGTGCAATAAACTGAATACTTATAACTGGATGTTGAGAAGAAAAAGGCAGAAACGTTCATGATGAACACTACTTTTATTTCGTAGAATATGGACCAATGGACGATGAGACAGTCGTCCCTGGAGCTGCAGCTGATGATCAAACAGAGCACAAACAACGTAAGTAGCTGTTTTCTATTCATCTTTTGAAGAAGAAAATACTACACGTCTTCTTCAAATGGAAATGAAAACCCCCTCGTTTCTTTTCCGATAGGAGCTCTACTCACTCTTGGAGAACATAGCCAAGGCCACCATAGAGGTGTTTCAGAAATCAGCAGAGATGAACAGTAACCCCTCAGGGAACGGAGCAGCGGCACAAGGTGGCTCCGGATCCAACAGCACCACGAGCAAGATGAAGCCAATTTTAAGGTATGTTGGTTGAATTAGTCATTTTGACGCCATTTATAATCTCATACATCTTTGGCAATAGATCACATTTGAAGCTTAACACTTTTTTGGCTTGAAACTAAGCGATGTTGGAATCTAACATGTGATGTTTGCACTGTGCCGCAGCTCCTCTGAGCGGTCAGGTGTGTGGCTGGTGGCTCCGTTGATAGCCAAGCTGCCCACCTCAGTCCAGGGTCACGTACTGAAGGCAGCAGGAGAGGAGCTGGAGAAAGGACAGCACCTCGGCTCTTCATCTCGCAAGGAGAGGGACAGGCAGAAACAGAAAAGGTTGGTGGCACATTTCTGTAACTCTGTAATCAATTAGATTATATTTATTCTGGTACAAGAGGAAATGTTTTTGCAAATAGAGTGGCTATTAGAGGTTGCAAAAAAACTACCTTTGGGTATTCAGGGTGTCCGCGGGGTCTTAAAAAAGTTAAGGCTATTAAAAAGTATTAAACGGCATTTTCCAAGGTATTACATGTTGTAGCTTGTTTTCAATAAGTATATAAATGGTCCAAAGAGGTTGTATTCTACAGTGTGCCTGAATGTAATCATTGCGTAGGTGTGTAGTGTGATTCTGTGTAGTTTATTTATGGCATCCCGTTGGATTTGACGTCATCTGAACAGGACATCGCACGCTCACTGCTTGATAGCGAGCGAAGGTCCGTTTACGCCGGTTGCTAAACAACATCGTTATGGGGAAATGCAAGTTTGCGTCCAAATGGTTGGAAGATAAGGAGGAAGGACAATCAATACTGTATATAGTCAATGTGAGGTAAAGTGTGTCGCCAATGTAACCGGTTAAAACTCAAAGTGGCGATGAGGTCTTAAAATGTTTGGAAAGGGTCTTAAAAAAGGTCTTAAAAGGTTTTACATTTGACTTCAGGATTCCTGCATATACCCTGTTATTATTTACATTATGTGTTTCCCTTTTCAGTATGTCTCTGCTGAGCCAGCAGCCATTCTTGTCCTTGGTGCTGACCTGCTTGAAGGGGCAGGACGAACAGAGGGAAGGCCTTCTCACCTCCCTGTATAGCCAAGTGCAGCAGATAGTGACCAACTGGAGAGAAGACCAGTACCAGGACGACTGCAAGGCAAAGCAGATGATGCACGAGGCTCTGAAACTGCGACTCAATCTTGTAAGAACTTCTTCATCACCACGACGACCAGCTTTACTGCTAACATCCCTGGCTATATAGAATGTTACACTAAGTTGTCATTATTGTGTACTAAACATTAGATTTGATTAAACATGTAAGGTGACTGACAGTACTGTTTCTCTCCTATCAAGGTGGGGGGCATGTTCGACACGGTGCAGCGCAGCACCCAGCAGACCACTGAGTGGGCGGTCCTACTTCTTGACATCATCAGCAGCGGCACGGTGGACATGCAGTCCAATAAGTGAGTGTTGACAAAAGAGACACTTCACACATTATTTCCCTGATTGGACACTTTGGTTATTATTTTCCAGTTCAATGATCCGTCACTTGATCTGCATGGCTCTGATGTTTGCGTCTCTCCAACAGTGAGCTCTTCACCACAGTGTTGGACATGTTGAGTGTTCTGATTAACGGCACGCTGGCTGCTGACATGTCCAGCATCTCTCAGGGCAGCATGGAGGAGAACAAGAGAGCCTATATGAACCTGGTCAAGAAGCTCAGGGTAAGAACTGCACAACCTTTTTTTAACCCATAGCCAAGTTGTGTAAAGATACGGTCCTATTTCAAAAGATGTAGTGCTTATATTGTATTTACAGTTGTTGCTGTGCAGTTAGTTTTTTGCACGTCTATTCATTGTGTTTTGAGGCAGTATTCCTGCATAGTTGCAGATAAATATTAGGGCACTATAAGTAATATACTACTTGTAGAATCATTTCAGTGGTAGGTTGTTTCTGACTCATGTGATTTAAACATTTACAACAACTCCAAAGCATTGTAAAGTCCAAGAGAAAAAATATAGATAGAAGTTCACAATAAAAAATGTCTAACAAAAGTAAGACATCTTTGAACTACACATGTCTTGATCATGCGATTAAGCTGCATGCCAGCACGTTTTTTAAATAATATGCTAATGTCTAAATGAGACGAAAACATAACTTGGTCATTGTTGAGTCCTTTTCATGAACATTTTACATAAACATCCTGTTCTTACTTTATTCTTACAGAAAGAGCTTGGGGATCGGCAGTCGGAAAGTTTGGAAAAGGTTCGCCAGCTCTTGCCACTGCCCAAGCAAACCCGTGATGTCATCACCTGTGAACCTCAGGGCTCACTGATCGACACCAAGGGGAACAAGATCGCTGGATTTGAGAAGGAGGTACGTGGTCCCTCACACGCTGATGTGACTTTACATCTACTTGCAAAGTGACACACATCAATGACATCAGTATGATTTGTACTTTACAGTGAAACTAGAATGTTATTTATCTAGTAAACTATATTATGTTGCATTGCTCACTATTCAAAATGATTAAGTAAATGGTTAAGTAACAGGAAAACAATATCAACTGTTTCCCTTATTCCTACGGTGGCTGAGAGGTGCAATAGACAATTACAAAGTGTGAAACACTTTAACAAAGCTTGAGACAAATTTACATTTTATAAAACAAAATTACATTAGCAAAACACTTTTACCAAAGAAGAAACTAATGAACAAGATGTGAAACACTTTTACAAAGCTAGAGGCACATTTACAAGTGCCGAAACACTTGAACATTTGCCGAAACACTTTAACAAACGAGAGCATCAAACCGGAAAGGGAATGCCCATCATACCAGTTGTGACGTGCAAGTGATTGACACAAACTTAAGTTTGTTTTGGCGGATAGACCGCCGGTACCTATGGAGGTACGAGTGTGTTTATGGTTGTTAAACATCTTTTGTCCGTCCTGTGGAAACCACCTGGGCCAGATGACATGCTTTTGCTCGTCACGATATATTCTCTCTTGCGTAAGAGATACGCTCTCGTGCACACGAGAAAGTTACAGGTTCGCCAAGTAGGAAGTGGAGCTGTGCCTTATTACGCACAGCTGTTCGCTGGGTTTACCTTCATTAGACAGCTAAAGAGCGACTGCAGGCTGCTTCGTTATAACCACACACGCACGCGCGCGCGCACACACACACACACACACACACACACACACACACGAACTGCCCGATTATTACGCCTTATTATTCGTGTGTGTGTGTGTGTGTGTGTGTGTGTGTGTGTGTGTGTGTGTGTGTGTGTGTGTGTGTGTGTGTGTGTGTGTGTGTGTGTGTGTGACAAAGCAGCCTGCAGTCGCTCTTTATCTGTCTAATGAAGGTAAACACAGCGAAGGCTGTGTGTAAAAGGCACAGCTCCACTTCCTACTTGGCGAACCTGTAACTTTCTTGTGTACACAAGAACGTATCTCTTGCGCAAGAGAAAGTATATTGTGATGAGCAAAAGCATGTCACTTGGCCCAGGTGGACAAAACATGTTTAACGACCATAAACACACTCGTACCATCCATAGGTATCGGCAGTCTATCCGCCAAAACAAACTTAAGTTTGTGTCAATCACAAGCACGTCACTTCTGGTATGATGGGCATTCCCTTTCCGGTTTGTTAAAGTGTTTTGGGAAATGTTAACGTGTTTCGACCCTTTGTAATTGTCTATTGCGCCTCTCAGCCACCGTACATTGAAGAGTGGACAAACAATAAACTCTGCACTATTAACGTTTTTATTTTCTTTATCAAACTTGCTTTAAATTAAGCATTATCTGCACGTGTTGATCTTGGGTTAAATAACAGTTATCTGTCCCTGTGCTATCAGGGTCTCCAAGTCTCAACAAAACAGAAGATTTCTCCATGGGACGTCTTTGAGGGTCTCAAACACTCAGCCCCCCTCTCCTGGGGATGGTTCGGCACGGTGCGCGTAGATCGCAAAGTCACCAAATTTGAGGAGCAGCAGCGTTTCCTGCTCTACCACACCCACCTGAAGCCCAAACCTCGCAGCTACTACCTGGAGCCGCTCCCCCTGCCCCCTGAAGAGGAGGAGCCCCTGACACCCGTCTCCCAGGAACCAGAGAAGAAGATGATGGAGGCAGTGAAGCCGGAGAAGAGTGTGCCCGCTGTGCCCCCTGACTCTAATAAGAAGAAATCCAACAAGAAGAAGAAAACTCCCTCTGCTAAAACAGAGGTCAGTTGTGTTTAGATTTGAGGGATTAAAGGGACAGTTGCCTGTAATGCTTTGTATCAATCTAGATCGTTATAGGGCGAGTTGCAAAATGTTTGTGTCCTAGAGATGTCAGCTTTCTCTTGAACATAATTGAACTACATCAGTGCTTCTCACGGACCACATTGAAATAAATGTATTTATGTATTTATTTAAGTTTTCCGCACTCTCGCGGGAATATCTCCGCAATGGATTGAGCTTAAGTTTTGCTTTCGATTGCATGATATAGCCCAGTGCAACACCTTCGTCACACATGTTGCCACTTGTTTGTACCATTTTCAGGCGATTTGTAATCTGTTCTAGAAAAACGATGTATTTTAAAACGTATAAAACAAACAATTGATGTCTTTTATTAACATTTACCCATGCTGGAAGTAGATTTAGATGTGTTAGAAGTTAGATAGAGATTATTATCTAATATGTGACCCGCTCTATCGAAATTAGTTGGAAGTCGCAACGGCTCATTTAAAAAATAAACGTGGATTTGCGTAAAAAAATAGTTTTTCGGAGTTCGGGTGTTTTGTTTGATTTTAAATAAAAAAAAGTCTTGGCTTTCAGAATATGAAACTTTTATTTCCAAAATCTCACGATAAATACATGTTTGAAGCTTGTAAAGGGAAGATGACAGGCACCTCCCACTCGCACTCTGCTTCAGGGTGACCGCGGGGCCTTCAAAAGTATTAAAAGTTGATAAATCAATTTAGCGAAAATTAAGGTTATTAAAAAGTATTAAACGGCATTTTCCAAGGTATTACATTTTGTAGCTTGTTTTCAATAAGTATATAAATGGTCCAAAGAGGTTGTATTCTACAGTCTGCCTGAGTGTAATCATTGCGTAGGTGTGTAGTGTGATTCTGTGGAGTTTATTTATGGCATCCCGTTGGATTTGACGTCATCTGAACAGGACATCGCACGCTCACTGACTGACTGCTGCTTGGTCCTTGTACGCCGGTTGTTAAAGAACATCGTTGTGGGGAAATGCAAGTTTGCGTCCAAATGGTTGGAAGATAAGGAGGAAGGACAATCATTACTGTATATAGTAAATGTGATGTAAAGTGTGTCGCCAAGGTAACCGGTTAAAACTCGAAGTGGCGATGAGGTCTTAAAATGTATGGAAAGGGTCTTATAAAAGGTCTTACATTTGACCCTGTGCTCTTCCGCAGCACCGCTCCCACTCCCTTCGGCTGAAATTATGAATGTAAGGCGTATAGTAATCATAGATAACATGGCAGGGGTCCGTTACAGTTTGTTTTCATCTGATTTTCAAATAAACAAAGTCTTGGCTTTCAGAATATTAAACTGAGACTGCCAAAGGCACACA